CTTACCGGACGAGAGTGCAGCAGCCGCAAACCCGAGGATTAACCGAAACGTCCAACAATAACAGAACACAGTGAACATCGATCAATAGTGGAGTCACGTTTATTACCGTATCTGAAAATGTGCAGCAATACAATAAATGCACCGCATGACCTTTCTCAATGGACCTATGTAGCCTCAAAGCTTGAAGTTGAGGGACCAGTGCTTAGCGGCCTAGGCCGATTGCTTAAGCCAACACATCTGATGCACATTCCCCAACCCAGGCTTCTTAGAGTCAAACTTATCACCGAATCCGTGGCTCAAGAGACTCTTCAGAAATGGCATTCTAGAAACAAGTTCCCCTCAGACCTGAATCTCCATCGGTGCAGACTAAGGAACGAACGTCAAGAGATAAAACATGGAAGTGCACTCTCGGACGCACAGTCCGTTCTGCGTCTGATCACCGTGTCAGGTAGCACGGTCAATCGCAGCGCTCCCAGTGCCAATGAAAACCTGAACATTGCGAGCTCATACAGAACTGGCAGTCTAAACCAAGTTGGTACACATTACGCACATAGCTCCCAGTTGGGAACCCTTGCACAGTCATGCATGTCAACACAAACTCCGGCAACGGCCTTTCCGACTCGTCTACAAATAATCTACCCCCAATAAGCAACAACATGATGGTCGAGTCATGGGGCTGTATGTACACCAACAGCTGAAGCCTATTAAACAAGCGGTGTGAGTTCCGTCCCAAGGTAAACCAACACCGGCCACTACTGATCGGTATAACGGAGACCTGGGCTCACTCGAGGATATCGAATACCGAACTGGAAATTCCCGAGCTAGACATCCTGCGACACAATGAAGCAGGCGGTATGGTTGAAGGGTGTGTATTGATAAATCTGTGAAAATTCTTCCTGTAAAGCCTAGTAATTCTTCCCTGAACACGACTCTGATCGAAGTAGAGCGTATATTGAACAATAGGTCTTTGACACCAGTCGCGAGCGAAGCCCCGGGTCTCGCGCTTACACCAAACGAATTGATACTTTCGGGACCGAATCACGGAATGGCAGTACCTCGAACAATCACAAAATATGACTCGAGCGGCAAGCAACCCGGTAGCTAGGGAATTCCGGACACTCGGCACTAGATCGGGCTTTTTACCAACGAACCCGATGTGGTTGATCAACTGGAGTTTTCTACAACACTGGGACTCGGTGACTATGATGTCATACGATTCCCATTCGTGCACACCACTGAACTGATACGGTCGACAGGGTCCACTAGCTGGAACCTACGTTAGACCGACATTACTGGCATTCGAGCCTTCCTGGAGTTCGCCTCATGGCCCCTTACCCCTTATTGCGTCAACGATCATTGGAGAGAAGTGATGGGATCCTCACGAGGCCATGCGTATGTTTTTACCACCGACACCTGTTCGACCATTCGAACCAAAAAAGCGACTGCGTCGCCGTACAATTAAGACATTGGCACAGAAAAGACGGGCGTGGAATCAATAATAATGGTACCATAGCTCCCAAGACTGGGTGGCTTATGTTGAATTACGCAACCAATGTAACCTACAAAAGAAGCCAAACACTAACAACTACCAGAGGCAGTCCTTATACTGCACCATTGCGGACCAGATGAGTTTCTCTAGGGCCATCTCTATGATGACCCAGGTGAAACCCAGGATCACAGACATTCGTCTTGCGGATGGGTTTCTTTCGGATGTCAATCAGGCTGCAGATAACACCCTGGATGAGTACTGCTCTGAGGCATTCAGCCCAGAACTTGTTAGTCGGATATACAATAGCATTCTTCCCGGAGTAGACTCCCTACCCAGCAGGTTCATGAAACCTGTGTCGTTTTCCCGGCACAGGTCGAACTAAAACTGGCAAGTCTTGTAGCTTAAAAGTCACCGGGCGTTGATGAGATACCATCCATCCTACTGCAGCAGTGCTCAGAATAGTTATTACTACCCCTAGGCAGACTGTTCAGCCAAACTATGAGAGTATGCGTGGTCCCAGACGAGTTCGAGACATGCATGATCTCTCCTATATTCAAGTCGGGGGACCGAGCCTTACCAAACAAACAACCGTCCGTTAGCCCTGCTCTCGGTGGTCTCAAAAGTAATGGAGGGACTCATTGACGACAAAATCATTGAATTTATCGAACAGGATCTTTGCTTGCACGATGCCCAGCACGGGTTTCTTGGGAAGCGATCCAGTCAAACCAACCTCATTGAGACCATGGAGTGGTATACATGTGCTGCGGACGAGGACTGCAACTTGGCGTAGCCATGCTGGATTTTTCCAAGGTCTCCGATAGAGTTCGTCACTCTCTGCTAGTGGAGAAGTTGATTAACCTGAGATTTACCAAAAACATGATAGCTTTGGTCTTAGACTATTTGTGCGGTTGAACCTTTCAGGTTAGAGTTACCGGCGTCCTCTCAGATAAGTTTGGAGCACCCATTGGGGTATCCCAGTGCTCTATCTTGGGACCCAGACTGTTCAAAATATTTGTGAAGCACCTCCTTGTAGGCATACAATCAGACCTACCGATGTATGCAGACTGTATTGAGACCTACGGGAGATTCAAAGCCCGTTAGATAAGTGCTCTCTGCAAAAGAACCTAGACAGGCTTTTCACAGCTGCTTAGGAGGAATGTCAACGCCATTGAGCGGTATCAGCGGAAAGCCACGAAACAAATGCAGCGCTTGTCAAGCACACCCTACCCGGATAGACTGCGTTCGCTCACTTGTACAGCATGGAGCAAAAGAGAGTAAGGGGCGACCTGATCTTCCTGAGGGACACACAACGTTCAGGGACACCCTAACCTGGGGTATCTGAGCACCAGCCTTTGATTGTCGTACATTGTGTATGTTGGCAGATGAGGTGATGCGGATGTGTGAACCGCTGAAGTTTTATCTTTACTCTGTCCTTGCGGATGCCAGAGATGTATTCTGCAAACATGGTCAAAAACCAGACGGTTGACCGCTCGGTAGTTACCACGAAAATATCTCAAAATCAGAAATCAAACGTACAGGTGGTTCGATAGGGGGAATCTTTCTCGGGTAATCACTCGCAGTCGAAGACCGGAGTCGGGTAAGTGCACAGGGAAACTGCCTCCCTAATTGCAAACACCACTCATGCATCCGGACAGACCCTAACATAGTGCATTATTCTACACAAAATCCTGGTCGGAGCGGCCGGCTCATGTAGCCTGAGGCAACCTGTTGGTCCAGTGCTAAGTAAGCTGCGAATACGGTTCTGTCAAGGAGAGGGTAGAGACCCACTCCATTACCCCTATCCACCTCAGGCACTGCTTTTCTTTACTCTTTTACACCGACTGCTGGAAGAATGATTGCATGGGTTGGTTGTGCGTCCTGGCTGTTTAGAACGGCTTTGTAGTGGTGTGTGTACGTCAATCAGTTCGCACTCGAGTGACGCGTAGCCGAAATCGATATGAATCCCGAAATAAAACACGATTGATTCATAATGTTCTACGGTACTGAATTAACGAAATCATTACAAAATGTACAACAAAGCAAACCTCAAATATACGGCCGAGATCACTCAAGCAAGCGAGCCAAATAAGATGTCCAGAGAGAGGCAAACAGTCGCTCCCGTTCTCCCGTCCTGGCTGTTTAGAAAGCTTTGTAGCGGTGAGTGCCATTGTAACTATGCAAAGCGTGTATTGATAAGTTATTTTTTGAGCCATCTTTATATGGTCTTGACTATTGCTTACGTACGAGTGCAGGAAAACACAGTTAAACATTAGCGCTACTAACTATTCCTTGTTTCAGACACAATCGGATACCGAGTAACAGACAACTACTCCGGGGACCTCTGTTCGTCACCGAGCAGTGAACCTACCACGAAATTCCAGCTAATCGAAATCTTCGGTTTCCAAGCCCATCAATCTCCGTGAATCCCATTGATTAGATTCGATGGGTTGCCTCGTCTATCCACAAATTCATACCAGGCCATAAGAAGAGAGTTGGTCAAAATGCTGTCTACGGTCTGCATAAGCAAAGCTTGTGACTGTAGGCAAATCATCAGGCAACCGTACCGTTGCTCCGTCCATGCCTTCCGTCTCACTTAAATTAGCCCTAAGTAATCCACTCCCCATACTGGGGAAGTTGTTAACGAGGCCATCAGTTGTTCGCTGAATGCAGCATTATGCCGACGACAAAAGAGACAGTCAACCATGATGCGCTTCACCGTAACTCTCCCTTCCACCATCCAAAACCGACGGCGAATGGTATTTTGTGGGTGGTTTTGCCCTGCATAGCATTCTTGCATGTGAATATGTATGATGAGTGTGTGCATGATGTAGTGATTTTTGGGCAAGATAATGGGGTGTTTAGCATCGAAATTCAATTCAGAGTTTGTCAATCTACCACCTAATCCCAGCAAACCATCTACCAATTTTCGACAGTCTTCAGAGAGAGTTGCTATGTAATGTGCGTATGTCGGTAACAAAATTCCACTTGCTCAATCTCTGATTCTCCGACGGGAGGGCTTGCAATCGAAATAGGCGAACGACATTAGTCTCTGTTGTTTTCAATTTGGTTGGAATGATGGATCCATAATTCAAGGTGTCGTTAGGTCGGGGTCGTAATAATACTATAATAGTCATAATAGCGATTGATCGTTTGAATCTGGTCCACCAGACAACCACCTTCAGCACCTTCGTCCATTGTGAAAAACGATGCAGTTTCCGCAGTGGGATGTTGGTTGAAACAGCGACTAACGCAACGGTCCTCTTGGTCTCCAGTAACTATGTTGTGACAGGGAAATCTNGTGTCGGGCCATTCACTGAGCTAATCGTCAAAGAAGCTGGTCTATTTAACCGTTTTATTATTTTTTCAAGTTCAGCACACCCCTTGAGCAGTAGTCGGCTGGATTGTCACCTGCTTTTACATGCCGCCATTGACGCACCTCAGTTTCTTCGTAAATGACGGCCAGCCGGTTGGCAACAAATGTGCTGAAGCCCGTCCGTTCATTGCTAACATAGTGAAGAACTGTGGTGGAATCAGTCCATTCGATCGAGTGAAAACCTCTTTTGATAACCTTCGCTGCCCTCAGGGCTAATACTGCTGCGGCCAGTTCTAGCCGGGGTATTCAGACTGCATTGAGACCCCGGCCTTTCCGAATAGAATACTGCTATACCTTCTTCCACGTGGCCGAGACGACCAACTGTAGGCCACCACCCCGTATCCAACCCCTTATTCCTGGTATGGGACGAGGGAGCCGTACATCGCCCAGCTTGGACAAGCTCAGGTCTTGTGATTTACATCGCATAGGGCCTCATCCCAAGTAAAATGTTTTCTATACAGGTCCTGCAGCAGAATCTTGCCCGGCAGTAGCCACGGTGAGACGAACCCCATTGGGTCTCAAAGGCTGGTCAACAAAGACAGAATCCCTCTGTGAGTCGCCATCTTCTCAGGTAGCCGGAGTTGGAAAACAATCATCGTTCTCCGAGTCACACTGCACACCAAGTGCCCTGTCTGTTGGTAACAAACTTTCCTGTAAGTCACGGAGACACAGTGACCGTTCTTCAACCGGGATGCAATCGATTACCTGACGACTGTTAGACATCCACTTGGTCAACTTGAACCCTCCCATCAGCAGTAACTTAGATAAGTCGCTAATGTATCGAACTGCTTCCTCTATGATATCAAGGGATCCAAGAATTCGACCACATAAAAGTTATGTTTAACACAGAAATCAACCTGGGTTTAGAAACGCTGAGCAAATTGATCCACAGTTATTTTTAGAGCGAAGTATGCATAGGAGGGAGAGGACATCGCCTCAAACGGATGCACGGTTGTAAAGCCGATCCACGTCGTCTCCTATGGAATTATCTTTCAGTGGTATTTAGTTGATTGAGGCTGTTTAATTACCATTATTGACCAGCGGTCCGCAGAGTATCCAACCAAAAATCCTGCGCGCGTCGTACGGCCTCCCATCCGTCGGTCCATAACCCAATGCGCCTCGGGTACGTCACAGCCGATCAATATGTCCACTTGGGAGTCCGGAACAGCCTTGAACGGCAGATCGTGGAAGTGAGGCCAGCGCCGTGCTAACGAATTCATACTTTCAGAAGTTCTCATTGGCAGATCGATGATAGTAAATGCCTGGTGCACCTCTCTGGTGTCTTCCCCCGATGTGGAAGCCAACTTCAAACTCAGTTGGGAAGCTCGAACTGCTCGTGTCCTATTTGACGTGCTGATTACCAATGAGGTGTTTTGTCCTCCAAACTCATGTTCTCGAGAAAAGCTCTCTCTCTCACAGGGGTGGTATCTGATCTATTGTCTAGAAACGCTACAGCTTGGACCAAAACGCATTGAGTCTCTCCTGGGATGGGTATTACTCCAAAGTGGACCGGCCCACTTTACAACCCTCCGATAGTGGAGACGGATTTCGGTATATCCCCCACAGAGCCTTTGTGGGATATATCTACCCTGCCATTATCTGTTTGTGGCTCGATCCTGCCATCATGGTGTTATTAGGGGTGATGCCGAACCCTGCAATTGTCTTGACCACATTTGGTTCGGTTTCTGCAAAGGGCTGCTCTTTGATATCGCTCAAGCACATAAAGCAGGACCTTGTCTTTTTAGCTATTGTCCAACGGTCCATCACCTTCGTTGCCAAAAGCTCTGGGCAAGTTACAAGCTTGTGGACACCTGTGCACAGTTTGCACTTAATCGGTTTGTGTGGCAAGTATGAGATTAAACTGGTGCTCACCCATTTGGGTGGAGAATGGACACCCTGAGATCTAGATGGCGCGAATCTGGTTGAGGGTCTGTCGGTTTTCATGCTTCCTCTCGCCAGTTGAAGGAATCTGCTGTTTTCTATGCGAGATTAGCAACTTATGAATTCAGTGAGTTCGTCAAAGTTTGCTTCTATGTATCTTTTTCTCAAATCAATCGGTCTCGGTCGCCAAGGCTGTCTGCAGTTCGGCAGGCAAATATCCAACTATCGATTCCAGCGTATGAAATGCAGCAAAGTCTGAGCGATAATCGAGGTGGTTGAGGGTGATGTTGCAGTTCTTCATCTTTTTGACCAAGTTTGATAGTGACCTAACATCTCCTCGTGTGCGTCTCGTTTCTGCCAGCACTCGGTCAATCATGGTACGTGTCACTCAGAATGGTTGGCCGAATATCTCGTCCAGTATATTTCTCGCTCTCCAGTAGCCCACTTCCGGGCCCAACGTTTCATACCCTTGTATGGCTTCTTTGGCTTTCTCACGATAGTAGTGAAGCAAGAACAGAAAACTTTGCCCTGCATAGGTGGTCTTACATTCAAAGAAGTTTTCGTATTGCCGCGTAAATTGGCACTATTGCTCGGGATTGCCGTCGAATG